GCGACCGGGGCAGAGATTATGGGGAAGTAGGAAGGCAACAGACAGCTGGATTAGGCGTCGTAAAATGGCGGCGTGTGCAGCCACACCGCTTGACTGCAGTGCACCGTATACCAAGATTGCATGATTCTGTGCTTTGGCAGCTGCATGGTGCGGTTGCACACGCCGCAATTCACGACGCCTAATCCAGCTGTCTGCTACCCTCCTACTTTCCCATAATCTCTGCCCTGGACGCTGGTGGACGATGGTAGACGCTGGCGTTCCACAGATCGGTATCTATACTTTCCTGGTTGCTGGCGTACGCTCGAAACGCTGGTGGACGCTGACGCAAAGTATGAATGCAGCCTAACAAAAAGACAAACAGAACGTCAATTCGAATGTAGATCGTAAATATGAAACTTTGTACACTCACACCGACCTGCTATCGTAATAAAGTCTGCGTTTGATATCTGAAAGTGTTGAGCGTAGAGTACGTGTTTTAGACGTACAGCTTGCGTGATTAGTATGGTGCAACAAGCTACGATAGGAGAGGCATGCGTGAATTGGATAGCGTGCGATTTCTACGTGAGTGATTAATGGTGTCGGCTGTGATGATGTTGTATCCATTTGAGTTTACAACTATCACCAACCGCAATCTGCTGGTACAAAGATTGAAAGTAAAATTAGAATTTTCGGACGGCTTCAAAATAGCATGAGAGAAATGGCTTTATATATGGCTGGCACACAACAGTCGCAAACTAAGCACATCACATACCATTTATGGGAGTTCGCATTGGCGACATTTAACCTGAATTCGAAATATATTAAAAAAACAGACGAACTAATCTCTCCACACAAAACCAAGTCACTGTTAGCATGCAAGACACAGCAGAAAAAACCACATCATCCACATCCCGCTTTTCATTTTCGACATGACGGGATCGGATATCATGTGTACGGTAATAAGCGTAGGACGCAGGTACAGACAGACAAAGAGACAGTCATAGAACGTCTAAAGAGCCTATCGTATGTGCGCTTGTATGTGTGAGAGAGCACGGACGACAGATATCAGTAGTTACAGTAGCAGTAGTAACACTAGCAGGTCATAAATGTATATTATGGTAAACAAAGGAGATTTGAATAGGACAACTTACCTTCGCACAGGGCAATCCGCCTTGCCACCTATAGATATAACAGCTCACACAAATGACTAAACCACAAATACCAGTAAGGCTGCGCTCATACTTTCCCTCAGCGTTTTGAGCTACGGCAGCGTTTTGAGCGCTTCAAGCGACTAAGAAAGTATAAGCATCTATCTAGCGTGGACAAATGTACGCATTTTTGAGCGTACGCCAGCGTATGCCATCCTACAGAAAAGATTATAAGCTCAAGAAAATGGGGCGAATACAGCAGCCCAAAAATTGCGCGTGAAATAAAATGTTTCGCGCCGTGAAAGAAACAATTTGGCATACCGTAAGAAGGTTTATTTGAATAGGATTGAAGGTACTCCTATTATCCGTGAGGCTAGGGGGAAGCCTGGGAGCTGCACGCATTTTACCACCAGGAGCTCCCAAGTGGAGCCCTGGACACCGTATCCCGTGTGCTGTACCCAAACCCGCGACTTTGTCCCACGGCGCGCCAACCATCTACGCCTATGGCCAGGCTGATGCCGTTTGGACGCGCTAACTTTTGGCTGCGAGCTTTTTTCAAGGCCTAGATCACCAAATCCGCTGAAAACTTGTATATAGGGGTAATCTAACATCCTGTTCACAAATATGACATTCATTTCCGGCGCTGGCGCTAATGGATGACACTACGATTAACCTCTGGGTCCAG